GACTTTCACACCTTTGCTGCAATATTAATAATTGACATGATATTTTTAAACATTACAATATTTGTGTACCTGATGGGAATTCGTCTGCATCATTTCAAACCAAAGTAACTATTGATTTCTTGCATCACTTCAAATCAAAGTGATTGATTATTTCTTGAACAGACAACAATCAAACAAATCCATAAGAAAAGAAAAAAAAACCGGCATAAAAATACCCCAAAAGTTTAAAAAATGCATTAAAAAAAAATAAATTTCCAAGTACATGAAGACATTAAAAAATGTATTTAAAAAAAAAAAGAATAAATCATCAATTGTGTAGAAAAGCAATGGTGAATGTATCTTAAGTTGATTCTTGTACAAAGATTAACTTTAGAAAAGCAATGGTGAATGTGTCTTAAGTTGATTCTTATACAAAGATTAACTTTACACCATTCCAAAATGTTGAGGACTTTTTTCTTCTTCTGATTAAGTCTAAGAGTAAGAGTTTCAAAAAAAATAATTTAATTTGATATGGAAGTGATTAAGAACACACAGATACAGATAGAGGAGATCTCCTGTAGGTTAATGTAAATGACCAATAAAAAGTGCCACTTTGAATTTTAAATTTTTTTTTAAAAAGTTGAAACTTTATATTCATGTATGGTAAATAAAAAAAACTTGACTATATATTCTAGAAGAGCAGCCTGTGTGTACATTTCAAGCAGTTGCCTCTTTTTACTTGTTATATAGAATATGACGTATAATGTAAATATTTGGTCCAAATGGTTTAGTGGGGTGATTTATATTTAAATGATTCATTGAACCCTTATCCCAATCCTTGCATTTATTCACATGCCCTTTTCATGTCATTTTAATTAAAAACAAAAACTTATTTTAAAAACTTAATGTTTAAAAATCATGTATAATTCCATGAGCTTTGTGCATTATCTGGGGATATAATCATATATATATTTTTTTTTTACAAGTAAACACTTCAAATGTAGTATTGTGTTTGCTTTTAACTGTTCTATCTTCTGAAACAAGGGTCGGCAACCTTTTGGGTAACGATGTGCTTAATTATAATTTCTGTTCATTCAGCGTGCCACAAGCCCATGTCCAGTTTGTAAGTCTAACCTGTAACTGTACGTCTTGCTTATAAGTCTAACCTTTAAGTCTAGTTTATAAGTCTGAACTATTAGTCTAGCTTATAAGATGCATCCCAAGGCTCGGCCAAGTAAGCCATATAAAAGATGCAATGTTTAGTCATTTAGTAATATTTTTTTGGGTCATTTTATGTGTGCCATAGTCTGCACGCATGCCAAAGGTTGCGACCCGTGCATTAGAAGATATTCATCAAAATGAATGAACATTGAGCTGACATAAGTCTGCTGTATAATTCTATTTAAAACAAATAAACATCTACACTAATGACTTAAAACAGACACACCAAAACAAGATGTATCAAATTCACTCAAGTACTCATGAACTGAAATTATTTGAATTTGATTCACAGCTTTGAACTTTAAGTATTGAAATTTTTGAAAATATAATTATGATTTTATTTTAAACAAGACACCACAAAAAATTAAATGTATAAGTTGTGGTCAAACTTTGATTTTAATTATATTTATATTCAAATTCAAGATAAGTAAATAAAAACTTAATAAGATACTGATCTGCTATAAGTTGTAAGGAATTTGTGGAATATTCACAGACATATTTGATTTGTGCACTTGCACATTTCTTGCTCACTGGTGTTGTAAATAATAAAACAAGTGTGCTGAGAATGGTGATGGGTAAATATTATGACTTGATTTTTGTAAAGACTGATGGAAGGGGTTAAATTGTTGCAAATCCCATAAACTTAAAATTGATAGTTAAATAGCATTATCAGTTTTAATACATCTAGACCAAGCTTCCTAAACTGGAATGCTCACACAAACGGGGGTTTGGGAAATCAGGTGGCATTAAAGGTGGTGAGAGAAAAAGTCATTAAAAATTCAAGGATCTGATGATTTGAAGTGCTCTGATGCATTACCCTTTATACAGTTAAGGTTATAGGCTTAAACACAAGCTGAATTTCAGTTTCATACATAGTATATCTATCATTATTTATATATAAAAAAAAAATCAAATACCGGGTACAACTACAGAATGAATATTCTACAATCCACTCCTTCTTTCCCATATATATATATTGGCTTAAAAATGGCTTTATTTCTTTCTATTACTAGGTCTCACAAACCCCTTAGTCAAAATAATATAGGGATTCAAAATAAAGAACAGTTTAGGAAATTCCACTCTGTAGAAAAATAGATATTATCCTATAGAACTGCAATAATATAATAATACAGGAAAATAAATCAGGAAATTATCCATGCTCAAAATACATTTTCCAACAAGTGATAATACTCCAAGAACATTTTCAAATATTTTTTACCATTTTGAGACAGCCCAAGACCTCAAGAAATAAAAATTATTTTTAATTTAAACAAATTAAGTGCACACCATCTGAATGTCACTTGAAATCGTACAAAGCTGGCAAGGCCACTGTTGAAGCACACTCTGAAGAGAGTAAATGCACTGCTCACCCCAAAGAAAGCTAACAGCATGGAAAAGAAGATTTAACTCTAACACCCCCCCCCACCTTTGTGTCCTACATGAGGGTATATATTTCCAGCCTCAAAGAGGACCAGCAAGTCGCCTGTGTACTCACCAACAAATTTAGCTTTGGTCATGTTTTCGCATGTTATGGAGTACCGGTTACAACATAACACTTATTTTCTGCTCTTGACATAAAACAAATCACGAGTTTTTTAATATCACTCTTGCGTATGCTAAATATAATGTACTCTATGGAATCTGTATTTTCCAGTGAAGATTTAATGAAATGATATGCATTTAAAAAGGAGTTTGTAAACCACAGCTCCTGGAGCAGTCTTTTTATGGGAGCAAATCTTGAAATACTGAACTTAATGTATTTATACTTATTACTCCAATATAAACAAGACAACTAAGTTAATTGCAAACTAGGAACTTTTCTTTGTTTATATAGGTTCCTATTGCTTTGCTGGAATAAAAATGGATGCAGTACACCATGTCTATAAATTTTGAATTTATGGGGGAAAAAAAAATGGAAGGTTGAATATCAGTGAAAACATTTATCTGGAATTGCCTGTTATGGAATGGCTGGAAAAAAACTCAATCATCACGAACGTAAAGTTTGGTACAGTTAGAACCATTGATAGATTTTAACATATCTGAATCTTCCATATGAGATCTGTAGCAATAATATATAATAGCTGCATTCATAAGACAATAAAAATGATTACTTCTGTGGTAAGGTATGGTAATTACACATTTGATTACTTCTGTGGTGAGGTACGGTAATGCAGAAAATGAATTGCCCAAAAATTGAAGCATTTTTCACAAATTACCATGACCTAATTACCTCTTAGTTCAAAGTTTTAGTAAATGAAATTAGATCTAAGAAATGATTCAATATCAAACATTTGTTAAGAAAGCCTTCCCATGAGTATTACTCTTAAAAAAAAAAAAAAAGTTAAAAATAAGTGAACACAACTTATCTGTCCCATGTATGAACACAACAGATGTTTATAAACATAAATTCTTCTTCTTATTATTGATCACTTCCAAACTGTTTGAAAAAGAAAAACTGTACTTAATATTAATGTACCAGACCCTCAGTACTTAAAACCTCTAACTTCTAATGGGTCTATTTTTAAACAAATAAGCAAATAAGTGAAGGGTGCCCATAACCATGAAAGAGATCATGACAGGTTTACAAATGTGTGTGTTCACTTTGTATACTTTTTTTTAACAACAATTTCTTCTGGGATATTTATGTTTAAGAAACCACTACCACGTACATGTTTTAATGACAAGTAAACCAACTAAAAATATATTTTCTGCTCTCATTAAAAAAAACAAAGTAAAACTAAAATACTATAACAGAAAATAGATGACAAATGAGTGTATGACCAAAGAAATATAACATCAGTTCTTTGGTACGTGTCATTTAATGGTATGTTCCATTGAGATAACCACAATGTTTGAATTTATCAATCCTGCGTGCAAGCCCCAAGCACATTTAAAGAAACCAAAAAAAAAAAAAAAAATAGAAGAACCATTGAGATAACCACAATGTTTGAATTTATCAATCCTGAGTGCAAGCCCAAAACACATTTAAAAAAACCAAAAAAAAAAAAAAATAGAAGAAAAACTCAAGTCTACATGAATAAGATATTTCAAACAGATTAAACCAATCTTTTAAACAAATTATTTCCTCATGGTGTCATTAAATGGATCTGTCTCTAACCACTAGAGACAGATCCATTTAATGACACCATGAGGAAATAATTATCTTTGTTTTAAAAAAAATATATTATTTCCTCATGGTGTCATTAAATGGATCTGTCTCTCTAACCACTAAACATCAAACTATTTTATCACAAATAGGGGCTTAGGTTTAATCTCTACCTACACATCTGATGTAACGGTCATTAAGGAAACATCAAACTCCCCCATACTATAAAGCATTTACAACAAACTGTTGATCACTCTTGATTATTTTTATTTTCTTTAACAGGCTCCTACGTTGAGAGATTGCACTAATTTTTTTTCAAAATGGATATAAGTTTTTGGTTAAGGATAACTCATGGTGGCTTAATTTAAATATGCAATACAACAAAGCATTAAAATATTACCTCACTGCTCATCAAGCAAATTTAAAATAAAATGTCATTTAGATGTCATATAATTATGTATTCCATGGAAAAACTGCCCATACAACAAAAACTATTGTAAACAAGAAAAATAAGGATGGCGTCTCATGATTTAAGGTAGTTGAGTAAGATAAAAAAATGTTTGCTTTAAAATTAAAAGTTAGACCATCATGGGGAAAACCTTTCTTTAAAAAAAGTAATAAATTTAGATTATGCATTTAGATAAACATTTTTTCAATTTAAGAAAGAAAAAAAAAAGGGGGGGGGGGAGGGGGGTAGAGAGAGAAACAAAAAGAGACATTCATTTTGTTACAGTAACAATGAAAATTTTTTGTTAAAACTGCCGGAATAATATTTTCAAGCACAAATGCTGGCTACTGTAAAGTTAAGAATGCTGACACACAAAGAGATTCACACACAAAACAATGACATGAACAAGAAAAATATGAAATCTATGATTGTGTACAGAAGTTAGTGTCTATGCATTAGGTCAATGGGTTCTTGTTGGTTGTGCTACATCGGGACATTGCTGAACAAGTATGAGACAGACTCTCCATTGTGTGTGCGCCTGATGGCTTCCGCTAAAATAATTGAGATATCTTGGCACTGAAAGAAGGAAATGGAAAAGAAAACACGTAATGACAAAACTATGTCTGCAGGCCAATATTCTAGTATTCTAGAAAATCATCACATCAAAACTTTACTGATTGTACTTGATTAAATTAGTGATCACTAATATTTCAGCATAATTCTTTATTTCACTAATATTTCAGCAAAGGACACTTAAAGGACTTCTGTAAAGTTCTTAATTTCAAAAGTAACATAACCTTTTAAATGTTAGATATTTGTTTCATGGAAAATTGAGACAAAGCAAATAGGAAGTAATTTTTTGGTTCAAAATATAAATAACTCAAAATGGATATTTATTGAAAGCCTTCTAAAGGAACACAATTTGAATGCTTTTGTTTGTTGGTTACATTTCTTGTCATTTTGATAAAGACTATTGAAAAAAACAAAACATTTGAAGTCTTATTGTTTAAATTTCATGACTGATGCTCAACAGACAAAAATCAAAGAATAAAAATAAAAGGACGCAGATTGTTTTTTTCCTGCATTTTATTATCATTTTTTTTCCATTTTAATTCTAGGTGTTATATAACGGAACAAAAGTTATTTCAATGAAATGAGGACTGGGGTTAACATTTTGTAAAGGATAAAATAACAAAAGAAAATAAAACTCATAACCAGGGTGTGCGAAACAGTGAAAAGAATGAGCTGGGAGACTTTAAGGAAATATACCGGGTTGGGAAATAATATATGAATGAAGTCATTATTATAAATGAACAGATCAAATTGATTTACTGACAAATGAACATTGTGCATTTCACTGTTTTTGTTTAAATGGCTGACTAAATGAATATTGACTGGTTCCATTTTCACTTTAACATTCAACCAACACTGGATACATGACACAATAAAGGAAGGAGAAAAACACTAACAGAGAAAAGCTAGAATCTCATCATAAACACAGAAATGTTGTACACCTTTTATTATACGGTACATCAGTTCAACAAAGGACACCAAAATAAAACTTGTCAGCAGAATGGCTAAAATGAAGATAAATACTAATGGAAGAAATGGGTTCTAAAAAAACAATATTTTCAAAACTGAATTATTTCAATTATTAAATAATATTAGACTTAAGGACAAATGAAATGAGCTTGATGCTTGAAGATTTAAATGCACTGTGAAAAAGAAGAAAAAGATAATGGTTAGTTAATGATCAGCTATTTACAAAATTTACAGTGAGCTCACCAGGTTAATGGATCCAATGAAGTTTCCAAAAAATTTCTTTATTTTAGAAAGCATGCGAGCAGATTAAAGCCTTATTAGGAGCAAGTAGATTTCTTATGTTTATTTTTCTATAATCTTTAATCCTATAAGTATGTTTGAAAAGGTCTATCTATGTCTCCAATTAAACTTATATAAGCATAGTTTCTCACCCGGCCATGAGATATTATGACCACTCTAAAACAACACACAATAATTTGATGACTTTTAATGGAAACTTTCTTTTAAACACTTAATGTGCTTCCCCAATTCTTTAACTACAGAATTTATAAAATAAAGGCTTAGTCAGAAATTTAATAATAACATTCAAAATGTGAATCATTTTACCACTAGAAAAAAAGGAGATTTCATTTATATGACACTATTCTATTTAATCTTACTTGTTTTATGACTAATGTAAAAAATAGTCATTAAATTTCATGATTCTTTTAATTCTCTGACATTACATACTATTAGTAATTTAAAACATTAGATTCCATTAAAAAGTCATCACTGCATTATTTTGAAAATGTATTTTTTTTTTTTAAAGCAAAATTTTTAATTTAATAGTGGTTGGCTTTAAATCATTTTTTTTAAAACTACGCGGAAACTCTTATGCTTAAAGTGAAAAAATTTGAATAGTGATCAATATTTAATTTTTTAAAAATTAATGCACATCACTTGGTACTGAGAGAGAACGACATCTTGGGAAGTTCTGCAGCCAGTTGAGGTGTGAGTGTGGAAAAACTTTTTAGCATTAGTTTTAAACAGATAATTTATTGACAATTTTCATTGTAACTGCAAATAAAAAAAATAATTAAGATAACATGCTTACAAATAGTGATTATTAACAATTTTAACAGCCAAACGTTTACTATGGAACTAAAATAGAACAGTAAGTTATTTATATGACCAAATTATACTGCTGATTGAATTGAATTTTTTAAACATTTATTATCAATATTCCTTAAAAAATATTGCATATACTGGTAAGAAGGTCCATTTTAATCATATTAGTGTTGAAAAGTTACAAGATATGTGTTGATAAATCAAAATGTTAACTACCAACAGTTGATGATATACTACAAACACACCCTGGATTTACCATAAAGTGTAAAAAAAATGTAAAAAGGTATATTTGTAAAATAAAAAGTTTTTTTTTTAAAAAGCATAATAATACTAGTGAACAGATACTCTAAATAGATGTCAAAACAATGCATTTATCAAGACAATGAAAAATATTCTTACATAAAATTTGCTAAATGTTTTCATACAATTTAAATGAAAACTGAAATCTCAAACGTGATCAATATCTTCTAAGTGCATGAACAGATTTTCCCTTTAAAACTCTTATAGAGTCAAACTATTTTTCAGGAAAAGGTAAAACTTACATTTAAGGATCTAATTATAATTAGTGTACTTTAGCTGACATTTGTTTAGATGAATTTATAGAGAATTTATCCATCACTAAAATGTAAAACAAAACTGATTGTGCTTACACAACTCAACCTGTCTAATCATGAGCACTACACTTAGACTTTTGAACCATCAAATAAATTATATCTGATTCATCATATTAATTGAATACATATAGTTCTAACATATTCCATAGCAAAAAACATTTACAAACAAATTGTATCTGATCTTGCTTGGTATATCTGATAAACCAAGTGACTAGCAAAATGAGAAGATACCATTCAACACATTTATTTTATTAACGCATTTCAAAGTCTAAAAATCTTGATCCCTGCTAATGATTTACTGACGCATTTCAAAGTCTAACAATCTTGATCCCTACTAATGATTTACTGACGCATTTCAAAGTCTAACAATCTTGATCCCTACAAATGATTTACTGAGGCATTTCAAAGTCTAACAATCTTGATCCCTGCTAATGATTTACTGACGCATTTCAAAGTCTAACAATCTTGATCCCTGCTAATGATTTACTGACGCATTTCAAAGTCTAACAATCTTGATCCCTACAAATATTTACTGACGCATTTCAAAGTCTAACAATCTTGATCCCTACAAATGATTTACTGAGGCATTTCAAAGTCTAACAATCTTGATCCCTGCTAATGATTTACTAACGCACATCAAAGTCTAACAATCTTGATTCCCTACTAATGATTTATTGAGCTGCACTTATGATAGTTCACTTATGTTAGCCAGCATTTCTCAACAGTCTGTCAAAGTTTAAACTGGATAGACTATGACATCACTCCCCTCCCCACTCTCTATTTTTTAATTCACAGTAAGTTTTTAAAAATTCCTAGATAAACTTCTATGACAAGAAGATTTCTGTTTCCTGAATGCTTCTAATATTAATAGCACTTAGGTAAATTTTAAATAAGCTTTATATCAAATTTTGTTATTTATTCTCACAAGACCATTATTAAATTGCAGATTATTACAGCTATACATATTTCTGGTGTCCATTTACAATGTGGAAGAAATGAATATAGCACATTCAAGTCATAATGTAATACACATATAGACAATTGAAAATGTAATTCACCTGGTGTTTGTCTGCCTTGAATAAATTTGTTTCAAAACTAAGCCATCTTTAAAAAGGGTGAATAAACCTATTTATTATAACTATGAAAATATCTTGCCTATTTAAAAAAAATGAATTTTCTGTTTACAGATTAGATTTATTAAAGAAAGACTTTATTATTGCCAAGATTTTTGAAAAGTCTAAATTCTGTGAAACAGAAAAATAGCACATGAACAGGTCACTAACATGTAATCAATGATGACAAAAAATAAACAAAACCTCTCCATGATCATGAAAAACTATATAACAAATGATAGGATTTGCTAAAATTAATTATGTGTCAACATTGGGCTAGTAAGCAATTTGTTATAAATTGCTAATACAATGCTCTTCCTGATACATCTACCAACCGCAATGTGGCAAACTCCCAAAACACACATAGATCACATCGGCACATGGGCAAACAGATACGAGACTGATTCTCCGTTGTGTGTCCTCCTCACTGCTTCAGCCAATATAATGGAAATATCCATCAACTGAAATGGATAAATTAAATAATGATAATACAACAAAAAATTAGAAAAATCTTAACATTATAATTAGTGCTGTGCAAGAGAGTATTATAAACTAATATTATGGGCTTATACAGGTATATAGAAGACCATGATTATAATTCACAAAAATTCTGATCCATCAAGTGCCCAATTCAATGATTGAAATAAAGTACACTATTCAGTAAAGGAAATATTAATCTACAAAATCTTATATCTATCTCAGTGATGTTTAGTGTGTCGAAAGCATTTTTCACATAAAGAAAGTATTTGAGAGAATTATTAAATTAGAAAAGTAACAACTACAATAAGCCAATAATAAACTAGCAGTCTGTCGAAATACTTGATTATGTGCCGCAGTGCAAATGCTGTAGTTATTGAAGTGGATTAGTAAACTTGGGTAACATAATGTTGATAAATATAAGTTAAACAGGATGTTTTTGTGATCAATAATCATATGTCCTTGGAAGTTTATCTAAATTACATTGAAAAGCTTATGCTAATTAGTTAGAGAGTTTCGCTACATCCCACTCTTGCATGTTGTTAAAACACCCTATTTAGTTACATAATTATCATGTAAGAAATCACACAATTCAATATAAATAGTACTGTAATCGCATTATGCCACAGCAGACAAACAAATTCAGACTTCAAAAGCTACACAAATCCACCATATCAAAATTAAGATAACCTCACATGGTCAATAGCAATGGAAAATGAACTAAATTAAGCCACTAGTATAGAGGTTAAGTTTCAACATTTTTATGCAGCTCTTTTAAGATGTAGTAGAATTTTTCTGACACTGCATCATTCTGAGTCATACTCTCTTGCACTGCACTGTAAAAAACTTGCACCATTCTGATTCATACTTTTTTGCACTATAACAAACTTGCACAATCCTTTTATACACTGATTTCTGCTCACAAATATTGTGTCACTGTCCAATCAGCATTACGACACCAGGCTGACCATGTCTCACTACCCCAACAATTAGGAGATCTAACCCTCAACATCATAATCTTAGTAAAAAAAATCATAACAAGTAGTTTGTCTTTCATTAAATAAACTATGTACAGTGGAACTTCTCATAACAAGCACCTCTCATAACGAGTAATTCGCATAACGAGCAAAAAAAAATGTGAAGAAGTTGCTCCCTTAAGGGGAGAAATGAGAGGGAGAGAGAGTTTAAATATGCAGCTGCGAAAAAAAGGGGGAGAAAAAAGTTCACTGTGATAGGTCAGAACGTGGAGGGGCGGAGCTAGGGTCAAGCTGTGAACAGAGACATAACATTAATCCCATCTGGCGTCAAAGTGGCGTCTCTCTCATTTTCCTTCTGCCACACTTCTATTGCTGCCCACAGATACTACTTACCAGCTAAGTGCTATTTCTTATTTTTATTTTCATATCGTTTTTTCTGTTGTTTTGTTCGCTGACGAAGGCTTTCTGCCGACACGTTTGCTGTTTTGTTGCGTTTATTTTTTCAGGTTTAACCCTAGTCTGTTTTGCTAATTTTATTTTGCTCCCTTAACCAGCGATATTTCGCATAAAGAGTTACGCAGAAAGGGGAAGCCCCTTTTTCCTGACATTCATTTGTGAGCCAGGACTTCCAGTCTGTTGGTGTATTGTCTTCGTGTGTGATCACCAGTTTTTACAAATTTTGTATTCAGACAATATTCGTAATTTTTTTATATGCAAAGTGTGATAACCTGAACTAAAATGTCTTTGAAGAAAAAACCACAAGAAGACAATCATAAGAGAGAAAAAATAACTGTTGAAATGAAACGTAAAATCATTGAAAAGCGAGAACAACGTGTGAGCGTGGCTAATCTAGCACGCACATACAATCGGTCAACATCAACGATCTGCACTATTCTCAAGAACAAAATTAAGGAGATGGATGCTTCAAAGGGAAACTGTTGCATTGTACATTGAGAAGCATCACCCTAATAAGGAGGTGGCTATTCGTGCTACAAATTTATTCAGCGATAATGCTGTGACACATTTTCATCAAATTTTGAAGCGTCGGCAAAAACAAATGTCTTTAGACAGTTTTCTAGTTAAAAAGGATTAATTATTTGTCATAAATTCATATTTTTATTTTCGTTTTTTTATTTCAAATCTAAATTGTATTCCAAGTTGTTACACTCCTTAACAATTCATAAGTAATTTTATTTGAATAAATGTTAATAAATTTTTTTTTTAAAATTATTTTTTCAGCATGGAACGCATTATTGTATTTTACATTGATTTGTATGGGAAAAATTGTTTCGTTTAACGAGTGTTTCGTTTAACGAGTGTTTCGCTTAAAGAGTAAGAGTCTGGAACGAATTAAACTCGTTATGAGAGGTTCAATAGTATTTTTATATTTTATTGAAATGGCTAGTACTAGTATTTAGGATAGCCAATCTTCCAAAATCAATCATATTCAGGAAAAATTTATCTCAGGATCATATATCTAGTCACACAATCATCATCCCATAGTCATTATATAAAACAGTAAAAATATGAGACAATTATATTTGGGGGGAAAAAAAAAAGACCACAACATTCAAAATTAATTTTACCCCAAGTTTGAAATATACATTTTCCAATGTATGAAAAAATGATAATCTGTTTCATAGAGAACAAAGAGTAAACAAAATTTGAAGTGGTGAAAAGTAACTAGACATGAGTTTGCAGCATTAAAATAAAATAGGACAAAGCGTGAACTTATTAGCTTTTAGGAATCATAGCGAGGTGTTACAATTTTACTGCCACATTTTTATTCAAGGTAATAATTCCTTTCAAAGCTATATATATCACAAAACTCAAAGTACACATAAATGCCCCTAAATTTATAAAGCTCAGCTAGCAGAAACACTGATATTTTAAAGTACTTTATTTTTTAAATTATTTTTAAGTAATAAAATTTGGATGCACAGTTTAATAAGGAGATGCAATAGAAAATAAGCTCACATGATAATCATGAAAATATTATCTATTAAACACTTATGTTTTACAGGGATTTGTTTTGATGTTTAATTCATAAAGCGCCATATAAAAAAGAGCTTCTTTCACAAAAACAAGAAAACTCAAAACTTACAAAGTTGACCGGTTTATATTTAAACAACAGATTTTTTTCCCCCAATAATTATTAGAAAAAACATCTTTTAAGAAAAGGCAAAAATAATCTTTGGCACATTATTTTAAAAAAAATTTCTGTCAAATTAAAAAGAATTTTCGAATTCACTGGGTCCTTGCCTAAACACTACATATTGTTTGTACACACTAAACCCCATTCATTCACACATTCAATTTTCTTTAAATGTCTTAAAATAAATAGTCATATTTTCCTCTGTTTGCAGTTGGGCAGTCATTTTTATTAAAACAATTTAAAAAAGATTCGGCAGGGACAGGAGTTGACAGGATTAAAGCATTTATATTTTATTGATGTGATCATCTATTTCAAATTTATTTTATAAAAGCACAAGTCTGTTTTATCTTTTTTTTTTAAATTTCAATTAATTTCAATTGTGCTTTTCCACCATGTTTTAACCTTTTCTACCTATAATTAACATTGCTCATAGTGTAGTGAATTAGTTTGGATGAGTGTAAGCTATAGTTTAGCAGGTGCTTTGCGCAATAATTTAAAACATTTTATTTTTTTATCAAGCATCTCATGAAATTCTGCCTACTGACTGCTGTACATTGTTCCAAAGGAAAATAGAAAGAGGATTTTAGTTCGTGACAGTAAAGTGGTCATGAAAGGAACATTACATTTAAAAAAAAAAAATTTATTATAAATTATTAAAATTAACAGGATAAAAAATGTATATGCTCATCATCAAACACACTGACTCCTAGTCTGGAGTAAAATTTCTGGTTAGTGAAACAAAATTAATTACTGCAAACTTAACATCGTTAATGTATCAGTAAAAACAAAACTATCATGTTTTTCCTAATGTTTTTACCGTAATACAGATTTACGCTACCAAAATGATCTAACTGAAAATGAAAAAAAAAGATCTGTAGGCTCAACTAGACTAAAACTACAATTGGGGCAAAACACAACGATACCCACCTATGTTAAAAAACACCTCTAGTATCCGCCATCCAACATGCGCCAAGAAAACGTAAAGAACAGCAAGGCAACAAATCTTGCGCATAGAAAAAAAATCTAGTCCGCTGGAATAGCAGGCTTTATGGTGATGAGATGGGTGACAATGATAATCAAGATAACCAAGCAGAATTAAGTGTGGATTAGTCACAAATGCAGACACCAGATTTATTTATGAGCTCTAACGTTTTCTAATAGGACTTCATGCAGGTTTTTTTTTAAAACTATAATAACAGACACTTCTTTCCAGTGAAGCTGAGCACACTGATGAAGTAACACTAGTTTAGATGTCTTAAATGCAGGAAGTGTGAAATGGTCTTAAAAGAACATCCCCTTTTACCAAGCTCACATAATCTGTTTTTAGAAGATCCATTAAGTTTACCTATTTGGAAAGATACTAAAAAGTTGGATTTAAAAAAAAAATTGTTCTCATCCTCTCTTCTATTTTAGGTACTTATGAACCATTGTCGTATGTAGAACCTCTGCCTTTCTCATTTATTTATAAAACCCAAAAGACAGATCTAATTTTATCCCTAAATGCCTGGCTGATTCTTTTTTTATGTTCCTGTATTTAGAATAGGTGGATGATTCTATCAAATAAATTTACATTGTGGCTTATTATTAGCAAGCCTTACTGGGAAGCCAATATTTATCTTTCGGTATAAATGAAAGGAGGCCAGCAGCATAACATAACTCTCAACTAAGACTTCTGCTTTGTTTCAAATATCTGACCATACCATTCTCAGAGTTCAAAGAAAATATTCATCAAGTAATAAAACTAAAAGGAGAAAATAAAATGAAAAAAGTGTTCGCATCTTTCAAACTCTCTTACCTGGATTTTGGGAGCATCCTTCATGCGCTGGTCTTGGGGTATTGTGTTTGTGACAACTACAGCTTCAAACATGGAGTTATTGATTCGAGATATCGCGGGACCAGAGAAGATGCCATGTGTGCAAACTGCGTACACTTTGAGGGCCCCAGCTTCTAATAATCTACAAAATATCAAATGAAACTTAAATAATGTAAGATTAATAAAAGTCAAATCAGTCAAAAATTAGTCAACAATATCTAGATGTAGCAGAAAATATTCCTGAATTGAATTTGTGCTTTAACTCATCAGTTACATTTAACTCTTCAGTAAAATTATTACTGTAATAGGTTCATACTTTTCTGCTGCATGGCAAATTGTTCCACACGTGTCTGCCATGTCATCTACTAATATTGCTATTTTGTCTTTGACATCGCCGACAAGAACCATAGCTGCCACCTCATTTGCTTTCTTACGTTCTTTGTGAATCAATGCAAAATCCACATTTAGTCTATCAGCTATTGCTGTAACCCTTAAAAAAGAATTTAAAGCATTGATAATTAAATGTGTATACATTTTACAGAAAAATTAAAATAGGCAAGTTTTTTGTGTGACTATACAAGAATTGAGAAACCTATCAACCAATATGTGATCATTAATATACTATGCTTGAGTTTAAAAATTGATTTAAACAAAAAATGTTTCAGGCAAAAACATTAATTATTTCAGAGTTTGGCCTTTTACTTTATAAGATTGACCATTAAACAACTAAGATTTAGATTAATCTACTTCCTTCTGGTACACAATAAGATAAAATTCTAACCTTTTTGCGCCACCTGCATCAGGTGAGACAATGGTGCAGTTCCGCCAATCTGGAATGTTCTCTTTAATCCATTTGAGAACTGCTGGCTCTGCATATAAATTATCCACAGGAATATCAAAGAAACCCTGATAGTATGAAAAAAAAATTAGTTTTTATGCGGGACTGTGCTAAAGTACGAAATGTTAACTTTTATATTATATTCTCTGCTGGAAAATTTTCAATGCTGCTGGAAAATTTTCAATTCAAAGCCTTAGGCTCAGAGCCAAGTATAAATTTATGAAAATCCCTGTTTAACAGAAGCCTTAAAATTTTTCTTAATTATCTATGCTTAATAACTAATTAATAAGTTGAAAGATCTGAATTAACCTGGATCTGAGATGCATGTAAATCCATGGTAATTATATGGTCTGCCCCAGCTGTTGACAACATGTTTGCTACAAGTTTTGCAGAAATCGGTGCACGACTCTAAAAAGTATGATAGATTTTTAGAAAAAGAAAAAAAAAAAGATTTTTTTGAAAAAAATCACACAACAGCAAATCCCTATTTGCAGTCTTAAAGAGGTGTATTTGTTTTGGTAATTATTAAGTGTTATGATGATTGGTATTGGATTAAAATTTTGCATAAGAAAAATTAATGTAATATTAATAGAAAAGTGTGTGCCATATTGGCCTAATTTAACTTCAATTAAAATAATATTTGAATGTAAAAATATTCTGCAATGTTGTTACCTTATCTTTTTTGTCTTGTCTGGCATATGGAAAGCACGGGATGACAGCTGTGACCCTGCTGGCCGACGCAATCTTACAGGCATTTATCATGATAAGCAGTTCCATGAGCATGTCATTAACTTCCTTACAACCGCTCTGGACTATAAATACATCTTCACCTCTTACAGATTCTCCTATTTCTACGCTGCAATCAGAAATTTAACAAATTAGGCCTATTGACATAATTGTCAAGTGATGATACAGTGTCTGGGGTGAACTTTGTCTGGGTCCGAGTGGTATTCTTAGGTCTAGATGTGATAGGCTGAACAGTTCATGATGACAATGTGAGGATGTTTTAGTGTGACCACAGGAATATTAGGCGGTGTTATCAGAGAGAGTTCAGCATTCGTCAGAAAGAGTTCAGTGTTTGTCAAGCTGTCATTGTCATTAGAATCCATAATGTTGTGGATAATGGAGAGAGTCGATAAAGAGTAACTGCATGCAATTGCACAGAATGTTGAGTTATTGTTAAATTTAGAGTGTTGGATTGGGAGAATACTACCGTAGTGGAACAAAACAACAAGAGCAAGAGCCCAGAACATTGTAAATAAAAGTTATAGAACCAGTGATCGCATTATGGCATATTTAATAATTTACTAGTCATCACCCTCTCTAAAGGCATGCTCTCATTATGGATTTCTTGAAGGCACTAAGTTCAGCAGTGAATCCATGTTGAGAATCCACTGATATTTTTTTTGTCTAGAATCTCAGGCGGACAGGGTATCCCATGTAACTGTTCACACTGAACAGTCACAAATATGCAGAACTTTTTTAATATGTGTTAGTGCAACCATAATCAACCTGCAGCTGCAAGTGGCTCTTTAAATGAATGAATTCATTTTTTTCTTCTTTCTATAACTGTGATTTTACCAACAGAAATTTAAAAAAAACAAAACAATCAATGCCAAGTAGTTTTTTTAAAACAAGACATTGTTCCTCTAAATCTTTTCTTGTATTCCCAAAACATTAATAAAATCAAAATTCAAATTTATTCACAAAATTTAACCTTTGAACTACAAAATGTGGCTACTAAAAATCCTATTGAATACAACTAATTAAAATTTGTACACAAGTCAGCTGATATTAAATTGATTCGTGTTTTTTTTTCTTCTGACCACTTTATTTTCTACCAGTTGCTATACTATTAATATGTCAGCTCATAACAATGATTGGGAATAGAAAAAAATGTTATAGGATTCTTTTTGTATATTGCCAGCAGGCAATAATATACCGGTACTGGAAAACTCACAAAACCTGTTGGCCTAGTTATTGTTACAACTTATACCACACAGTCTCATAAATCTTGTGACTTGTATTGCACAGATTGGGAATCTAAAAAACTAATCCGCAGAGTGAAAATACCTAAAATATGATTAAAATATCATGGTCGTTTGTATTAATAATTATCATAATACAATCATTTTCAATAATTATTTAGTAATAGGCCTATTAAATTTTTTAAATAAACTTAAAAGAAGAAGTTTAAATTATAAATGGGTCAGGCCTACTAGTGATTGCGAAGTCACTGGGTAGGGGAGAGTTGAGCCTTAGGATCAATCATTTCAGAGGGCCCCATTGTTATTGTGGCAATGCGCAATAAATTCTACAATTCCTGAGTTGGAAGAAAATATGTCATTTTCAGATTATAACTTAACTTAATCTAAATATTCCATAAATGACTACAGGGTCAAGAAAGGCAGAGGGTCTACGTGAATAATGATCATTCATTGGTTGCTATTTTCACCAAATACAATGGAGTTAGTAGGACTATTCACTTGACCTCTGCACTATAGTAAATTATTTTACACAATTCCATTATTTTGCTGAATAAAATGTACATTTTAATATACCGGTATAAACAAAAGCATCAGTCAACAAGCATTAGACATTCAAAATAATTTTAATAGTTATAATTTATTATGTAAGACAATACAACAATGTCATGGAGGAGGCGGGGGATATGTGACGATGTATGATTTTGTGTTAACAAATTTGTGACCATTTGTGAGTATGTGGGGTGGGAATTGTGACTTCATTTATGGATGGCCTCTAAAAAAAACAACAGAATATATTATTATTAATATTATCATTAGGTGGCCTAGGGCTAGGCTCACTGCGCTTCACATAAAAATTAGCAATTATAGAAATGTATACATCTAAAAACAACAATTGGTGAAAAGCTTGACCTCACCACCCAATTACAACCTACACCTGTCTAGCCGTGGACAGCACCCAGCAGAATATATGTAGTCACAAAAAAAGTTGGAGCTGCATAGGGCATAGATAGTAAAAAAAACAACAACTGAATCTTATTTAAATAATTCAAGGCTAAAAAAACTGCGTAGGCTATATATTCATACATATTTAATCTTATGTCTATGCCTATGTGAGGAAGGAAGGATTTCACACTACTCATTGTGTATTGAGCTAAGGCCACTTCATGCTCTACCCATCACATATTAAGCTTAGGGCGCTTCTACCCCCAACAAACAAAGGCCTAGTAGTTAATTACTTGCTGTGACTTGAAAATAGACATTTTCTTTAGTGGAGAAGAACACTTAAATTGCGGAAAAAGTCTCAGAATTACAAAAAATGGCTGGAGCTTATTTAGAACTCAGAACAAGTTGTTAAAATTGTTATCTTTTTAGATCCAGAAAGATAGTGTTTAAATTTTAAAAATTCTTATACTTATAGTGGGTACTTTGACAGAAATCTTAATTAAATAGTCTTCTCTTGACATAAATGTTATATGATATTTAAGTGCTTGCTAGAAGCTTTATAAAAACATCAAATTCATCTGCTTTATAAAAACATCAATTTCATCTTTCTAGCTTTTCTTGAAGTGGAGTTATGATTTTTTTGAGGGTGTGAATTTTGTTTAAAGCCCCTTATTTATCTTTGCATTAGATTGCCAAAACTTGTGACAGACTTTCCAAATTTCTGCCTTATTTTGGCTAAACTTTTTTTCTTGTAAAAGATAATGGTACCAGATTTTCAGAAGACATTTTCAGTGCAGCATACAACACAATAAACAACACATTATTTAAATGGCTTGAAGTTGACATGAGTATATTTGAGGGAAACTTGATGAAATCCTGAAAAGAATGGGAAAAATTATTAAAACTTACTTATTTATAAAGACTATAGCACACACAAAAAAAACAGGTATATTATATTATTTAAACTGTCAATATGTAAATTAGCCTACATTTTAAATGATATAAAGTTAAGTAAAAGACATCATTTTCTTTTAAATTGATGCATGAAATCATTTTGTTTTAAATACTATAAGTTAAATAAAATTCCCTATGAGCACCTGTGATCAAAAATATAATGGGCATTTGCTGTCTGCCATCTTCTGTATATACTTACAGCACATTTTCTTGGAATCATGTTGTTGAATACCACAAAATCTTCTTCATAATCCTTGTCTCTGCAACTTTAAGCCAAAAATCTTTGATCGACAGACAATGGCAGGTCTTTGAGTAATGCCAGACAATTTTATTAAATACTGTACCAGGGAGAAGACTATAAAAAGTATATCCAATCCTAATATTAGTACCTTTTATTTTATTGGTGTTAACTATTTAGAATTAGTTTCTTTGACTTTTTATTATAAATTTTAAAAAACATTATTGTCATTATAGGCATAGGCTGACTTTTGTTTTTTCCAAGTCTGGACACTGGAAATAAAATTTCCAAAAAAATATAAGGCATAAGAGTTTAAAATTAAAATAAAAAAGGAAATGTAAAACCTTTTTTTTTCCAATAATTATTGGTAAATCTCAATTATATATTTATAATAAATATATTTAAATTAAAAGTAATTTATTTTAAATTTATTTGATCCAATTAAATGGTTTAAGATTGCAAATTATCCAAAATATTCATTAATTAATGCTTTCAACTATCGTTATCTGCTCCATCATCTCCGAGTGAGGGAACAAAATGACAGAAGGAGCAATATGCTTGGGGGTGAGGTCACCTAATTTTTAGGGCTTGCATTTTGATTTCTTGAGCAAAGCCTCATTATCTATATTTAATTTTGCCGATTAGAGTCATTTAGTTGTTAATTTTCTACAAACAATTTTTTTAAGCTATAACACACTTACCGACCAGCTTTTGGCAAACGGCCTGTGATAGCGGCATCATTTTGTAACACAATTTATAGTACGCAGAAACCGATCAATACAACACTAACACTGATGACGAACAACACTATTTATTTATTCAAATTAAATGGCCGAGGTTATTTAATGATGTCAACAAAACCCTTCTTCAAAAACTAGGTCACAATTTTTTGCATCATTTTACGACATACGCAGAACAATGAGTGAGCGAATATCAATACACCTACTTAATATGCTCTTAAAAGAAAAAACAACAGTAAATTAAATAAATTAACATTACTAAGCTAAAAGAGCCTACACTATTTCATTTGAGTAAGTAATTAATTAATTACGCTAAAATACAATTTTACCATATTCATATCAAACTAATTACTATCACAATGAATTCAAAATATAATTAAATTCATGAAAATTTTGCAGGTTATTCTTAGTTAATATTTTGTGGTGATCTTGTGATGTAACAAATACCACCTTTGGTTGGGAACCCTGGGACTTGGCTGCCAAGCCTTGGATTTTTCTAAAACTTTTCTTGGTCGGTCTGAGCAATACAGTTAACTGAAGTTATTGACCTTGACGGTTCTTATCCTACTTTTAGTTTAGTTAGGCTTACTAAATGTTACGAATGTGTACTGTGTACACAGACTAGTAGTTGTCATTATTTAATATTTAGCTTAGGGCCTAGTCTAAGTATCTCTAAAGTGTGTAAGTCCTAATAATGCCTAATGAGCCTAATGCGCCTGATGCTAAAAATTTGGTGACATATATTTTAAAAAAGAATGAACGCCGACCTTGGATATTCAACCAATAGAGCTGTCTAATTGTCACTCAAATTCAATACTCAAGTAATTCAATCAAAATCAATTACAATCAATGCTTAATTTTTTTATTTTTTTTAATGCTCATCAACAAATTCAATGAAATGAATGTCTCCCGAGGACGAAACTTACCAACATTCGCCATTGCTGAATTTTTTGGTAACCACTTTCGCTGGTTCAAGACCTAGTCGTGAACATATTTTCTGTCCTAAGTCGGGATGAGAAGTTCCCGCAAAAACCTTAATGTTAGGCATTTTAATATGAAAGACGGTTTTAATATCTTTAGTCCCTTCGGATGCCTCTCTTTTTGGGTTCAACATGTGTTGTAATAGGGAGCCGCTCCGTACACGATCGTCGTGTCTATATATCCTACTGATCTGTACACGGTGTAGAGGAATAGCGTGTACAAGAGTGTGTCGTAATTATTGCGTTGTAGTGTAATTTTTTAGTGTCGTTGTAATTTTTTATTGTAAAAATGATATTTATAAATGTAAATATATATAATTTAAAAATGATGATTTTCTGATTTTGTTGCTAACACATCATTTTCTATTCACTGTTGCTCTCTCTGTCTTCTCCTTCTATAATTTGAGAGTGAGGGCCCACGATCAATCAACAATGTATTGATCATTCTGGCTCTTATTTATGTAGGGCTGCGGCTATTCAGACCCGGGTCCGAGAAGTGAGGGTTTGGGTTTAGTAAAAAAATATTTTAAAATTATTGTAGGGTTGGTAAGACAAAATTAGGTATCAAATGAAAGATAATTGAATGGACTAATAATCTATATTATTGTAAACTTACTTCTTCAATTTAACTAAAATAAACTACAACTAATGACATCCAAATAGCCATTGCATTTAGTCAAAATGGACCATTAGAATTAAGTAGGTCTATAGTTCAGGGACGTGAAAATAATGTGCGGTTTCGAGCCTTGGAAAAAAAAAGGGGGGGGGGGCGGCGGCACTAATTGGGATTCTTATAAAGTGCGGTACTTGAATGCATGTTTTGTCAATTTTTTTAGTCCAACCCTCCATTCCTCAATGTTAGGCCTACATTTTATAAAGGATTTATATGGGGTTGTTTAATTTAATATTTTTTTTACAATTACCTTACGTCGAAAATATTTCAAGAAAGATTTAATTTAAAAAAACCATCAATGGAAAATAATAAATTAAAGATTAGACTAATCATTAACATTAGAATCGGTAT